ATAAAGTTATACTACTGTCTGCTCGTTGGCAGCATGTATGTATTACGCGGTTATCCCACAGTGGCTGATGGAGTTCGGCCCAAATATTTAAATCATCTTTCGATCTATGCTTATAGACCTTTAATGAACCTATATATAACAAGCATAGAAATTAATTTCTAATGAAATTAACAAATGAAAGTACTTCTAACGCCACAGCCAGTGAGCCACGTGGCCAAGCAATCACCACGCCAAAATGCAGCATGGGTGATGAAAGTTCAGTATATAATAACCCGCATATCGGTCATCAATCAGTTAGAGCACTAGAAGACAACCATCCTCTATGAAGGGAGAGCCGTTAACTGTTTTAGCTGTGCGGTGGCATAGCGGTTGCATCGTATAAATATTGCCACTTCTCGTGTATGAAGTACCCTTATGTGGTACTGTTCATGGTGATGAGTTCGAGCAGACGGATAACTTTTTGGTTCCAGCGATCTCTTCTGTTTCTTTTCGATTCCCCATATTATTCTTAATACGTATTGAAAAACTCCATAGAGCAACCGACATCATTTGTGAACGATAATTGAGGCTAGCATTTTACACAACCCTTTTAGTTCCCCTCCCCTTTTCCAAAAGGCCTTTGGTGTCCCATGCCAAGGTTGACCCCAAAAAGCATGTTGAAAGTTAAATATCTCGAGATTTTCACTGTACTGGTTGGCGCTCGTCACTACAGCATCATAGCGGTATCATCGACGGCGAATCTACCCCAAGTACCTTAAGGGCTTAGGGAATGAAGAACAGTTGCATAGTTGCCCAAAAAATCTTCAGCTTCATGTTTTCTACAGTATTGGTTAGCACCTATCATGAGGAACAACCTGAAATCAAAATAAGCGGTCGGATCGATGGAAACTATTAAACATCCATAAATTGCACGTCGTAAAACCCATCGGAACGGTTTAATTGAGCATTGTTCATTGAACGCTGAAGCAGAAGCCATCTTCACACGAAACGTGAACCTCTTTGCCTCTGGATTCGCAGAGGGAATGTGATTGTCATACCTCAGCCTGCACCCCCTAAGGCGTATACGGCTCTCTCAGTCATTTTTAATGACAGTGCTCCTACTGTCTTTTAGGACTCCTCTAAGTTTGAGGGCACTGCATCGAAACGCTTTTAAGGTCGAGCTCATCATGTGAAACGTTCATCTTGCGAAACGTAGCCAATTAAACTGCATCAGCTAATTGATTGGCTGCAGTCGAACGACGACCCACGCCCTGGGCGAACGGCGAACACAGACACGCACTGACAACTCATTGGCTGAGCGGAAGCCCCTCAATCGAAACAAATGTTCTGTACGCAGCTTGATCCTTATCTGAAATGTTCGTAGACGGAGACGCTCGTCACCAGAGGCTCCAAGCTATGC